AAAGTGCTACCTTACAGCAACAATTAAACAGAGGAATCCCAGAGGCACAGGGAGTCGTCGTGTCACTGTCTGTGTACAGGCCAACACATCTCTCCCATCTCCATTTATTTCCCTATGAAATCAGCAGGGCCACCTGGGCTTGGCATTGAAACTTCATTCATCTCCAGAAATGGATTCCAGTGGAGAGCAAAATCAAATTCTCATTTGCAAGACAGGGGGGAGGAAGAGAGGGAGTGAATGCAGGAGGTACCTGGGAACGCTAACCTCTGGGTGAACCCGCTGCATCTGATAGTTTTGCTATTTATCTGTGACATTGACAGCTCAGGGGGAGATTAGGAGCCACCCTGCCCCAGCTCCCCACTTTGCATTCTGCCTATGTGCCGCTTTACAGATGGACTGCTGCACATTTACCTTCGCCTGTTTTCCCTGGGTTTCAACACGGCACTACACCAGAGGCAACAGAGGGGTGTAATTATATGAAATGCAACAATAAAACAAAGCAAATGAGGGAATGGCTGCTTCAGAGGGCTTACAAACCAGGAGGATGCAAAAACTGCCCAGAGTGGCTTTTGGTGGGGGTGCAGCCGGAGATGAGAGTGATGGATGCCCTTCGGTTAAATACGTCCAAATCCCCCCTTCAAGCCGCTCTCTTCTTGCCAAGCAGCGTGAGTGAGTGTGTGAGAGAGAGTGTACAAGATTAATAGTGTAAACAGCAAGGGAGAGAGGGAGAGAAAGGCAGCCGGGAGAGAGAGAGAGAGAGGAAGAAAAGACTATCAGCATCTGCAGCAGCACAGTAGCCCTAGGGGAATAGCATGAACTTTTGAACCCTGATGGCAAGCAGTCGCAGCGATGCACAGAGCTGCTCCTGCCTCGTAACGTGTGTTTTCTAGCAGAGCACACAGGCAGCAACTGCAGGAGGAGAGGAAAGGAGAGTGAAGGGGAATGAGAGAGAGTGGAGGTCATTAACATATTCCTCGCTTCCTTGCAAATGAGCAGCCACTATGCAAATGTCATGAAATCCATACACCAATGAACACGGTGAAAAATTCATCTCCGGGCTGGTATCCTGGCTATCAGCAAGTCAGAAAAAACTTCATGACTGATGGGAGTTTTTGTAACAGGAAGGCCAGTCATTCACACAGCTCAAGACTGAGGAAACGGGTTGGCCATGCAATAGGCCAAAGGTCAAAAGTTCAGCATGTTGGGAGATGGCACGACCACAGGCCAACACATCTACAGGGAAATCATCTATGCAGAACCACAATACTGTCCAAGTGCTGCATGTAAAAGGAGAACTGGGAAAACCACTATTAGCTGTTTATTTAGCATTTTTAACGTCTTGTTCTTTTAAGGTCATTTCTTCTGCTGTGAATCACCCAGAAACTGTCTCCCATTGGGTTAATTTGACTTTCCACACAGACAAGGGCCAGTTGGCACTGAAACCATTGCTGATCTGCCACGTAATGGAGCATCTCCCCGTCAGCTGGCATCATTTTCACTGTTTCACCAGCCAAGAATCACCCAGGCATGTGTCCTCAAAAACACTTAACTTCATATAGCTTCAAACCTCAGCCAATATGACAAAATGTAGATGTAATATTTTATTTACTAGCATCATGTAACAATGTTGTTAGTGTGCATTGGCTCCTCATATTCAAATGAGAAAGAGGCAACAGTGAGACATAGCTTCAAATTGGTTATCCTGCGGCATTCTTTAGCCGGTAATTGGTTTTGGAAATTGGGCCAGCGCAGTAATCACTGACAGGAGTCAAATACACCAGCCTATAGAGCTGGCAATATTAGTCAACCAAGTTGTAGTCATTATTTCCTTGTTCCAACCTCTCACTTTTAAAGATATGCAGCTTTTGTCTAATGTGAAAACAAATCTCATCATAATGTCATTACTCAATCTGAAGACTTCCATTTTCTCTTTTTTAAATTGTGATGTTTTTTCACAATTTTTGACCGTTTAGAGACCAAATTATTAACTGATTAATTGAGAAAATAATCAACAGAACCATCAAAACAACTGTTAACTGCAGCCCTGCCTACCTGTATGTCAAATTAAATTAGAACTTTCTTACAAATCTGATGGATTAAATGGCAAGATGATATTGAAAAGGTTCAATAAACAAACCAATCACCTGCAGATAGAGCAACCTGACATGAGTATGGCAGAAATGAACATACACATGGACGTTTTGTGACTCAATCCTACACCACATCTGAGCAAATACAGACAACATGGTAGATCATAACAGAACCATTACGATCACACAGAAGAAGAGGGAGTCATATCGAAAGCGCCATCTTTTCTGCACACCTACTGAAACAAAGCTTTTCCTGCAGCGCTCTGTCATCACTGCAGCTTCCCAGCAAACACCCCCGAGCGCCCAGCAGTGCTCTCCAATCAAAGAAAAACAAACAAGCCATTTCGATTTCGTAAACTTGACCTGCAAACAGCATGAGAGGACTAAAAGCCCCACATCTCCAGCTGTCTCCTGGGGTCTATTTGTGTGTGTGAGGGCATGTGTCTGTAAAAGAGGTTTTGTAGGCCAGAGGGAGAATTTTTTCTATGCATACATCTGTGTATGTATGCAAAATGTACTGGAATTGCAAATAGTGTGTGATGGAGGGAATGAAAAAATTCTATTATAGTGTGTGAGCCCCAGACAGCACAGAAAGAGAGAGAGAGAAGTGGAGGTTGCTAAAGAGGGCAGACAAGGCAGGGGTGAGGCCGCAGGCGCGGTCAGGTCATCGGTGCGGTCGGCGGGTGAAATGCAGTTCACATTACCATGCAGACACCCAGGCTAACAATGGAAGCTCCATCTGTTCCTGTCAGCCATTACAAATCTGGTGTCACCTAGTGCACTGAAGACAACAGGCCACCGCATCTAATCAAACGGCACAGGCTCCTCCTGCGTGCAGAAGCAGCCATCGACTTCACACTCACTCACTCTCTGGTTAGAGAACAGAGAGCGACGAAGGCAGGCAGTCGATTACCACGGGTAATACATTCTCCAAGTCACAAAGTCTCTATTGTGTACAGTAGGCTCAAACAAAATAATACAATTCAAGTCAAGAGAAATAACTCAATTTCCTACCTTCTCTTTAGAGCCAAACGTTTTCTTCTACATCACAAAATCATCATTTATTTTCGCAACAAAGGAAATCTGCTGATTTTTGTACTAAAGGGAATAAAAGAAAATTTTAATGGTCACTGACTGTTCCTCCTGAAACGTCACTGACTTCATTACACCATTATTTGCCACAAGCACTCCCTCTTCCCTTGAAACAGAAAAGTGTGAGCCATTTCTTTCAACTGGCAGTGAACAGAGAATGAACTATGAACTCTACATGCCCTTTAGTGAGGACACAGGCCATTCACTACGCTAACATGGTCACAGACCCCCAGCAATAAAAAGACAACGCTGCGAGGGATACATTTTTCTACCAGAATCAAAAGTTATGATTATTGATCCAACAAGAAAATGTGTTTCTTTAAGTGTAGTTATTTTGTATCGAGGGGCATCAGTTGTTGATATTAAAAGCAAAATGCAAAAAAAGAAAAAGAAAATTATTGTGGTGCTGCATAATTGGCTATTTCTCACATTTAATACTGAGAATGGCGTGACAGCATGTTTGAGATTTAACAACTGTCACGTTAACAGACGGTGTAGTCTGCAGTTGGACATGTTAACATTATCCCCTTAAGAGAAATTTCTTAAGTATTTTACAGCTAGATTTTGTTTGTTTCCCCAAGGAAATCTCTTCTTGTTTATTCTGAAATAAACTATTTCAAAAAATGAATTATCATTGTTTTGTGGTCTGTGTTCCCACCATCTGCTGTGATTCGTTTACTCTATTTTTCAAAAGTTGCAGAGAAAAGCAGCACTTACTCTTCTGTGGGCAAAGGACAGAAAGGGTTTTTAAGCCATTTCCAAATAAGGGGATCGTTTTTGACTACATCTAACTGGCATTGCAAAATGACAGCAAATGGTGACAGTGTGTTCTTTTTTCTTATTGGGAAATTCCACATGGTTCCAGCTTTACCTCAGGAAAAGAGCTCAAAAAGAGTGCAGCGTAGAGACTGGCACCCGAGGCAATAATGCCCACCTGTCACGTCAAGGGCTATTAGCTGGCGCACAGAGTCAGAATTACAAAAACGTCTGAACAGGAGGGAGGGCGAGAAAGGAAGATAGAGAGAAAGATTGATAAAGGGAGAGAGGGATAGAACACACATGGCCCCTCAGGTACAGTGTTGTATTTCAAACCCGGCTGTGAAAGAATAGAGGGACTCGGGTTCAATCAATCACTGCATTAGCTTGCACCTACAAAGCCTCCTCTCTGTGTGGGCCGCCTCCATGCCCCCCCCTCCATATACAGCTCAAGGGGGACAGAGCAGAAGCAGCAGAGGATCTGCCACTGGAGGGAGCTCTAGGTCACTACTGAGGCCTTTGTGAACCACCAGCTCCTTTGATCCAGCATCAGGAGACCTACCTGCACACTGGCCATGAGGAAAGGGAGGTAGGAGGGCAAATTTCACAAATGTGGTCTAGTTTTTCACATGAAGAGGGCGAGCAACAATACAGATCAGAAAAGGTCTGCCTGCGCTTCCTGTGATGATGTGTAGGTGTGCTGGGGAGGACAGTGTTAAATCTGCATTTGTCTGGTTTTCTCAGAGGAATACTCCATTGTGTCCTGGGCCAGGCTCCTCCTTTGAACCTATTCCTTTGTGGATGCAGAATTCCATACACACCATAGCCTTACAGCAGAAACATGTCTATATAGACATGTACATGTACATTACGATTAACATTTCACTCTATTGTCCTTAGATGGTACGAGCTGAAACCTACATATAATCTGGACTAGTGTCTTCTACTTAAAATCTAAATTTACTTTGAAATGCCTAAATTTATCATTAGGCCTTTCTGAGTTCAGATCGCTGCACTGCACACACACAGAGGGAATAAGAATCAGGACTATTGTTAACTTACACTCTAGGGGTCCGTCATCCTGGTAGTCAGAGAGTAGTGAGGCATCATCAGATGGGGCAGAGTGACCCAAGCTGCGGTTGTCATCAGAACCATCTTCATCCCTGTAGTCCCCTGAGTGTGTGGATGGGTGCAAAATAGAGAAACAGAAAGCAAATGCCAGTGAGTAAAGTAAGAAAAGGATTTTAAGTATCACACACATACAGAAATTAACACACAGCTGAAACAACTCAGTTGGATAGTGTACTGCGATAGAGACTGTTCAGGGTAATTTTACTTACATTGGAAGGGGAATTCCTCAGGCATTCTGTAAAATTGAAATAAGCATAAATCAAAAATTTCTTGCACTGGATTGCAAGGTTTTCTGTACTTTCATTTGTCAGAAACTCAGCTATAGCAGAGCTTCTAAAATTCAGTAATTGTTTCCTGCAAAGACCACGAAACCACAAGTTTTCTGTTCCAGAGCTTACACCTGTCATTGAGCAGTGCAGGCAACACTAGTGAAGATGGTTGTTTCCGGAGTAAACTAGCACACTTCATACAAGAGTTTCAGTATTTTGAGGTTCATGAACTGTTCATCATGCTTGGAAATTAAATCACATTAAGATTAAATTATCCAGGTAAAAAAAAAAAGAGTATGCTATGAAATCTCTACAAACTTTTAATTGTAATTAGAAAAGCAAGAACAAAGCCTTGAAGGTGACACCATTAGACTAAACGGGTTCCTTCAACTGTAATTTTGCCAACTGTGTTTAAAGCAATTACAGCAACAATTAAAGGTCTAGTGTAGTATTAAGAGCAAAAGTTAGATAATGGTGTCATGAAATTACACTGTGACACTTGACAAGTAAAGCAGCTTTTTATGACTCTTCCTAAACACTGATTTAAACCTGCTTCTAGAGGTGAAACCCTACCTTGCATGGACAATTCTGAAGTTATTGAGTAAGATTTTCCGTATCTCTTGGACACTTTCACTGAGGTTTTCATCTTGAAGGTGCTCGAATACAAACAGCTCACAGTCTGAGGAGAACAGAGAACACAGCAAACATGGTGTTTATGGTGTGTGTTTCAAAGGATTTTTCAGGGTCCCAAGCTGAGAACAGGACATGGTTCTGAAGTATTTCATAATCATCATCAACTTTATTTATATAGCACATTTAATACAGCAACAGCTGACCAAAGCACTTAACACAAAACACAATAATAAAACAAAATTACAACCACCCATCATAAAACAAAAATCCTCAGCAAAACAAAGCCTCATACCGGTTCAAATGCCAAAAGGTACAGATGAGTTTTCAAATGCACTTTAAAAATAGACAATAAGGGGGCCTGCCTAATATATAGGGGCAATGAAATCCACAACTTTGGAGCCCCCACAGCAAAAGCCTTGTCACCCCTAAGTTTCAACCTAGCCCTCGGTACCTCAAGAAGCAGCTGATCAGAGGCACCGAGAAGGACTACAGGGACGCAACAACTCTGTAAGATAAGAGGGGGCCAAACCATTTAAAGACTTATAAACAAATACAAGAATCTTAAAATGGATTCTAAAATACACCGTCAACCAGTGAAGAAAAGCCAAAATGGGAGTGAAATGCTCCCCTTTGCACCCCCCAACCAGTAAACGAGCAGCCACCTTTTGAACTCTCTGAAGACGGGCAAGGGACGTCTGACTAAGCCCAAAATAGAGCGCATTACAATAACCTAGGTGAGAGGTGATAAACACATGTATTGCTGTCTCAAAGTGCTGCTGCGAAAGAAAAGGCTTTACCTTTGCCAGCTGTCGAAGGTGAAAAAAAGCTAGCCCTTACAACCACGTTCACTTGACCAATCTAAAATTTGAATCTATTTTGACACCTAGGCTTGTAACAGTCGACTGCACATACTGCTGCAATCGAGTATGTATTTCACCAGAATAATACTGCTCTGATGGTGCCAACATACAATCACCTTGGAGTATAAAATTCAAAATGAAACTCTGAGAAGTTTGACAAACCCGTGTATTATCTTATCTCTGAAATCAAGTTGTCAGACCACTTTACTCTTACCCAGGACATGAACACAACACCTGTACTGTACACTCTACTGAATTACAACGTAACCATCTTGCAGTTTGTCTTTCAAATATCCAGCCTTTGTCTAATTTGTTGATTCTTCCTACAATGGTGACTATAATATTTCTGCTGCTTCCTCGAAGCTACTCTTTGTACAGCTTGACCTAAAGAAACCTAAAGACTTTATCTTTTCAAATATTTCTAGAAGGGAGGTTGTTATGATCAACATTTTCCTTCACCATGGCAATGAAGTGATCTGTAAACTTGTTTTTAAGTGACAGTAACAATACAGAGTATTTCAAGATTTTATGATACTATAGCGAAAATCAGATTGCCCCACATCACTTGTCTGATTCAATTTCTTTATGTCCTCAGTCCCATATTACACAAATATACATGTACTGACATATGCAAATGTTTGTCCAAAGGCCTGGGACTGCATGAAAATCTAGTAAATGACATGGTGCCACTATGCTGAGAACAAGAAGCTACGTGCATACGCGCCACCATCACAGGAAACCCGGGGGGTTCAGTGTCTATTAACGGTTTATGTTTTTATGTTCTAGTTTTTACTTACCAAAAGTAACAGTAGGTACAAGAATTTCATGAGCAAGAAAATAAAGAATAAAAAAATGTGGTGCTACCTACATTTCAGGCCGTCACTTCAAGTTTGCAATCAAAAGAACCAGAAACTATTATTTGTACATTTTATATTAGGCTACATTTAGTTGTGAAACCCATGTCTGCTTACAATATATTACCTTAATTGCACTCTTCTTTAAACACAGAATTTAAAGGCAGCACTGTACTGTTTAAAACAAAGATAAAAACACTACCATTCAAAAGTCTCCTGATGTCTTCTGGGATTGTCCCCATCCCTGAGGTTCACCTATTTAACTCCAGTTACTTTGGCTTGCTGACTTTTTTGCTCCACTTTGCTCTTTACTGCTTCTTATACCTAACCTCTGTCATGCTGTTACAGCTCCATGACAGAAAACAAAAGCCTGGTTTATGCAGACACATACACACACTCTTGCAGACCCTGCGGCAAAGCATCAAGCTACTTGTGTCCTTTTACAATGAAACCTAACTTCCGTGCATGCATCTAGATTTGCACGTAATGGGGTGGCGCAGGTGTACAGATGACAACTTCCTCTGCACTGTGGTTTCTCAGAAGAGGCTGATGACAAAATCTGACTGGCATCCCCCTGTCTGATATACAATAACACTGCAGCAAAGCCAGCCAGAGTCAGGGCCATGATCCTGTACACTGGCTGCTTTTCGCAGAGCTGGGCCCTAACAACACTGCCCTTTAATAAAGATGTGAAAAGTCTGTATAGGCAAAAACGCTCATTTTAAGTACATTTTAAGGTCTTTGTGCTGAATCATACCATCACCAAATTGAAACACCTGAAAAAGACAGTTAGCTAACTGGTGCCTGCTGCTGAGGTAACATCTGTCTCTCTTCCCTTGTATATACAGTAGTTGGGTGCTCACCTTTTTCATAATCAAACGGAAGCAGAGAAAATGAACAGTATAATTTCAGTGAGTAAAACTTGCCAACTGTATCCCTGTGTCAATGTTTTCCCACATTCAATATAGGGCTGTACATAATACTGCAATTCCTCTTGATCCGTATCTTCAACCAAATGAATTAAGAAAGCACCTGCTGTGCTGAAGTGTCCTTGAGCAAGGCGATGGATCCCTCCCAGTCCAGAGTTATTGCTCTGTCATTGATCTTTTGCAGCGTGGCCTTAATGCAAAGTGGGAAGAACTAAGACAATTTCCCCTAAGGGATCAATAAAGTACTACATTATAAAAAAAGGCAGTAAAATGGGATTCCCCTAAGGAGTTTCTTTAATTGAATTTAACTATTCAAACATTAAACTTGGGGATGCATGTGGGGGCCCCCAAAGTGAAAATGGGATCCCTAGAAAAACCTCTCATTTAAATCAGTGGAAATAAGAATAAAATCAAAATGCCAGACTGAAATCAAGCACAGCATCCAACAGCACAATGACTGCAGCACACCAGTATTACCAGACATTGGTGAAATGATTCAGAATTACATTTACATTAAGCACAGGAGTCAACTTGAGATGCAACAATTAGTTAATTAATCAAGCTGTTGAACATAAAATCAATCTGTAACAACTTTGACAGTCAAACATTTTCAATCATCTTTTAAGCAAAGGTGTCAAACATATAGTGGTTACAGCTTCTCATAGGTGGGGGTTTGATGCTTTAAATGCTCTTATATGATGCTACCTTTCACTTCTGGACTGTTGACCAAACAAAAACAACACGTCTGAAGATATCAGCTTGGGATGTGGGAAATTATAGCAGAAATATTTCATTCTATGATCTTTTATAAATAGGTCAATAGTTTATAATCAAGAAAATAATCAGAAGATTAACTGATAATGAAAAGTGTCATTTCTAGCAAAAGCATGTGTCCTCCTATACCTGCACACAAAGCAGTGTTTGGGCCAGGTGTTACTGTCGTCTTTCTTTTAGTCCAAAAGCCTGTAGCCTGTATTGTTAAGTGTGTGCCAATGATTTGTAGATACTTGTACAGTTTAATGACCCAGTTTTGTTGTCAAACACACAACCGGCTATTGGTGTTTTGGAATGAATAGTGCAGAAACCGTCGTATTTCATACAGTGGCAGGCAAAACTTGGATATTCTACTAAATGCTATGAAGACAGTAATTTATTACAGTTGCCCAAATACAAGCTCCGAATTTTTCACTCAGCTCTTGATGTGACACTTAACAAATGTGTGCTTTTTTTTATTTGGTCGTTAACTTAAAATCATCTTTTACCCACCTTTATTTGGTTATTATCCCTGCTTCACTGGTCAACTGATTCACCAGGCAGAAGCAATCATAGTCACCCAGCCTCTTGGTGCTAACTGCTGCTGCGAATCCGCTAACTAGCTTGCGGCTAACCCTTAACCCTGCAAACTAGTTAAAGGCTAATCCTTAGTCTGCTAACTAACTTACAGCTAAATATTAGCCCTGTAATGATAACTTAAAACCATTATTCTTTAGTAAATCCTATCAACGTCCTATTTCAAGTCACAGTTTAGGTTTCCTGACAACAATTTTTGTTCAACTGAATCTGTCTACCTGTCATTCGTGTAAAAGTTTTGCATTGGCACTAGGCTATCGTGTAGCTAATGTGCAATAGCTTATTTAAGCTAATGTTAGCTGCCTGCTGTCGTTAATTAACCAGCTAGTTAACAGGCATCTCTCCGTTTTAGGAAGGTAGAAATAGTTTTAAAATAATATAATAAAATATTTATTTTATTATGTTTACAATGAAGATCGAAGTTCCAGTTAAACCCCGTTATTTCATTTGTTTGTACACTGGCTAGATCTTTCCACGGGTTTGTGCAGATGTTGCGTTCAAGTGTTCACAGTTCTTAAACTGAAGTTGTAAATCAAAGTTGTAAGCATTCAAGTGGTGCTTTGCTATTGCGAATCCAGTACCACAAATTTGCCTTGTGTTTAAAGATTAGAAAATAAATAACATCAGGGATGCAACTGACGTTTTAGCAAGGCCATAAAAGATGAACAATATAATGCTAAATCATTTTAAATGGTTTGTCTTCACCCTAAATAGCACACATTCAACTCACTTTCACTATTTGAATGGTAAACTAAAGTATTAAAGTATTTATTGCATTGCTAGGTTTTTGACTGAAGCTTGAAAACTAGTTTATTTCTGACAACAAATGAAAGTAGGATCACTAAACTATGTGACACAGCTGACATGTAGAAGAGGCAGGGGTACAGATAGTAACACTAATAGTTGTGGGCCTTTCTAGCACTTTATTGATCCTCTGTTACTGAAACACTACAAGGAAAGCCATCAAGTAACCAAAGCTCAATCAGACACTGCTCACATTGACAGAACACACAGGATAAAAATCGAGGCTATGTTGGACTAATGTATATTAAA